TGCCATTTGTCTAAGGAATCTTGCATTAATAAACATGAAGAAGAACACTTTTACCTCCCACTCTCAATGACAGGACCAAACAAAGACCAGCTGTATTCATCAATGGGCAGAAACAGTTATAATCTGAAACCCTGCAATCCTCTTACACAACAACTGTTTTGGCAAACCCTGCTATGTTCCAACAAATATTAAACTGTGCTTGCCATTTGTCTAAGGAATCTTGCATTAATAAACATGAAGAAGAACACTTTTACCTCCCACTCTCAATGACAGGACCAAACAAAGACCAGCTGTATTCATCAATGGGTCCTTGTTCTGCACATAAAGGCTAATTACATTTTGCTTCAAGCCTACACATGGAAAACTTTACTGCTGCCGGCCCCGTCACAGTCAGCCCGTGCTGTCCCAGCTGACGCAGGGCGATGACTACACACAATAACCCAAGGTCTTGGAACAGGCTCGGTGCCTTAGACCTGAAGGCTTCTTCCCAAAATGGGGGTGAGGATGGTCATCTTCCAGTGACAGAGAGGCAGAGAAAACACATGCCCTGCTCTTTAAACCTTGTGGGGAGATGATGCTATTGAGGCCAGTCTTCTCCAAGGCCTGCTAATTTCAGAAAAGCACCCTGAGCCCTACTGCGAGATTGCCGAGAATAGTGTCTGTTGTTGACAGTGCTGTCACTGTGGGAGGTGCTGCACACACACACATTCTCATTACCCTTCACAACAACCTTTGCCTTCACTATTATGCCCATTGTACAGGTGAGAAAGTGACACACAGAGGTCAGTGAGCTTATCCTAGGTGACACAGGGAGAGTGAGTAGTAGACCCCTGTGATTCACACCCAGATCAGTCTTCTCCAAAGCCCACGTTCCCCTATGCCTCCCCAACCTCCTTCCTACGTTTTTTTGTCAACAAATATTTAAGAATCCTGCCTTTCAAAGACAAAGTAAATTGTTTTGAAATGTTTTAAGGCCATTTGTGAAAAGATTTGCTCCTGAGAGGCTTCTATTCGTATGTATTAACGAAAAGATGCTTAGTCTAATAAAATATATGCAGGTTGGGGCTGAAGCAGATGGTAGGGTGACAAACCTTTCCCAGAATGTAAAAGGGGAAAGGAATGCGGAGGGGGAAGACTCATATGGGATCTCCAAGACCGAAGCAACTGCCTCCAAAGTTAAAAGAAAGTAGCAATTATTATCTCAGTCCATTCTCTACATTTTTTGTGGATTACTTACTCTGGGAACCATTTACAGTGAGTGTTTGGCCTCAGGCTTCCTTTTGTTAGCAGCCCATCATTTCTCATTCGGAAAATGCCCGATCTCTGTCTGAGCCTAAGTCTAGCCCCTTGACACCTACCGTGCCCACCACTTTGGCCCTACGGAGAAGCCATTCGAGACTTCTGGCTGATCCTCTTGAAGAGTAGCCTTGCAGGCCTTGTCTTTCCACAAACTGCACTCCTTTGGCCCCCAGGAGCCCCTCACCTTAACTCATCTTCCAACTCGAATCCCATGTCACCCCTTTCAGGAAGGCTTCCTTGGCAATTCTTTCCTTTAGCTCCAGCTGGGTAGGGTCTTAAGCTGGAGACCTGCCATTCCCACCTCCAGCACCCCGCTTCCTTTCTACCTGTCTCCCTGGGGGTTGCCCCTCTGGCTTCTGAGTTTGCCATGAGAAGTCCCAGGGTAAGGTCAAGGGTTATGGGTGCTGCCCTGGATCTCTTAACCCTGCCAAAGACTTCAGCTCCTTTCAAGGTGGCCCCTTTAAACCTGGGTGTGGTAGAGCCTGCCCAATGCTCGCTAGGGATTCCGAATTCCTTCTGTGGTTTCCCAACTCCTGGCCCAGGCCACGACAAACAGTCCCAATCCAATGTTAAACTCTATGATTATAGTTGGAGTGTGCTGTCTGAGTTTGCAGAGACCTTGATTGGCACAGGCACCTGTGCTAACTAATGCCCCCTCTTTCACACCGGATCGCAAGGGCTTTTCTCTCCCTTGGGCCTTTTATCCCAAGATTTCCAGAGCCCAGCACAGGTCTAGACACAAAGGCGGCCTCCTAGAGTGTCTGCTGGATTAATGAGTGGACCTGTTATCTTTGAGTCATGCCCATCATGTAATTGTTATGCTTGTTCTCTCCACATGCACACATGCACATCACACCCTGCCTCCACCTATCACTGGAGAAGACAAGAGAATTTCCTGCTATACTGACAGGAGGGGACACACCCCAGGAGCGTTCATGCCCCTGTCAGCAGGTTGTGACAATAGCCAGTCCTGAGGCAAAGCATTTTTATGATAGAACAATCAACCTCCACATTTGTTTTATTTTATTTTCTGTTTCTGATTGATAAGTGAATTATCCTCCAGCATCAGCATGGCCTATAGCAAGGTCAGAAGAGTGTGGGGACAGGGACTAAGATGTCCCTTTCTCTCTGGTTCTGTCTCCTAGTTACTTCTCCAGCTGCCGTGTTCTATACCTAGAGAAGATGAAAACTTGCGAGGGGAGGAAAATTTCAGTCCTTACGAGATGGCAATTCTCTGTTGCTTCCTCAATACCTAAAACCAACCAGTCAAGATGGACAAAAACTTTCTGTGTGACTTTTAGAAGCCCAATAAGAAAATAAAAAATGACAAAAATAAACCAGGGACAGTATTTAGCAACCATGTGACAAGTGGCATTCTTTGCTGTCAATTTTTAATAGTTTCGGTAGATACTTTATGTCAAGAGGCAACTTCTTTTCCCCAGGTAGGTGCATGTCCGTGTCCATGGCTGACAGCACCTCCCCAGTACACATGGGGAGAGAATGGCAGGAGACATTGGCTTTTGGAACTTGAACTTTTGTAACGCTCTCAAAGTAGTGGCTTTCAAAATGGTTTTTGATTGAGATCCACAGGAAGAACTGTATTTTATTTTACATTGTGACCCGTAACTATATGCTTATATTTTTGGATTTGTACACACAATTAAAACACTGTCACTAAACAAAACTTACTTTACTATGTACTATGAGCTACAACATTTTCTATTCTATTATTTTGTATTATATTCTATTTTATTACCCAGCTAGCTGGTTGCCATTCACTAAATTGATTTCACGATTGTGACTCACAGTTTTAAAAACACTGGCTTAGAGGGGCTTAGAGTCTGGTTGCAGCAAAGTTTTTTTTAAGTGCATAATAAAGCAAACTTTGGTTATGGATATGCAACATGTGGCTATGCCTTTTAGGTATGGTTTAATAAATACAAAATAATGAAAGCTGGTGAAATAATCCAATATATCACTACCAAAGTCACTGTAAATTTTGTCAACAAGTAAAATGATGTGGATAAGAATGAATAAATCAAGGAATTAGCGTATTGTCTACAGATCAACTATTTTAGAAAAGAAATGCTACAAACTAAGTATAGAGCTATGTGTCAGATTAAAATATTATAATTAAATAAAATCTAATTTGATGAGAAAAACAATCTACTTAGTAGAATAAAGGCCAGGCAGAAATAACAGAAAAACAAGATGACAGGCTGGCAGAAAAGGGAACCCAGACTTAGACACTGAGGAGCATCAAGGTGACAGCAGTTGGTGTGGCTTCTGCCCAGGTTATATCTTGGGGGTGAGGAGCAGGAACTGTCAGTTCAGAGGAGAGGGGGAGACACATCTGCCAGCCCCTCAACAGTGAGGCCCTGGGCTGGAGGAGTTAATACCAGAGTCACCAGTTCTCAAAGTGAAATTTTACCAGTTACCACATCTTAGAATCAGCTAATTCTACACTACCTAAAGTCACATTTCAGCTCACAGAGAGAAGAGGGTAAAATGATCTGGCAGTTTCCACCAGGATTAGACATGCCAGCAAGTCAGCCAGAGTTGCCAAGACTGACCACGATATTTTAGTCTTTGTGCAGAAGTTCTGAGCTTACGATCAAAATTGGTTCTGACCACCAGGCCTGGGTAGGTGGGCTCTCAAGGTCTCGAGCTATTAAACAACGTAGAACGAAGGTCAGGAGCCCAACACCCCCACGTGCCCTGAGAGCAGCTGGCTCAGTAGCACCCCACAGGCTAAGGATGAATATGATGAGATAGAGCAATGCTGAGTGCCAGCGCCCCATCCAGAACAGGAACCTGAAAGGAGGGTGATGCTATTTTGAGGTGCCCCCATCCCCCAACACACACACGCACACTCACTAAGGCCCACTGAGGCCCTGTGTGAACACAGAACTTTCTTGCTAGTGTGAGGCAGCTTGAGAGACACAGCTGGAGGCATTCAGATTTCTGCAGGAGACAGGAGGAAACTCCCAGAACAGGAAAAGGTGGTTCAAACTCTACCCTGGCATTGCCTGTCTGGACTTCAGTAGAGAAGGCCATGGCTAGGAACAATCTCTGGCTTCTTCACCTTTCTTGGCTTATGTCAACATTATTTCTTCTTTTCTGCTGTTCTGCATGGAGGAGTGGGCTGGCAAAAAGTGATCCTGTGGCAGATCACTGACTTCCTTCTCACAAGAGCCTTGTGTGATATGCCTGCCCAAATATGTACACTCTCTATGTGTATGTGTCTGCACAGGCGCACCCGGTGTTGTAAGGTGTGACCTGAACAAATACACCTGTGTGGGAATGAAGGACTCGGGCACAGGTAGAAGGTGATATGATCTGTACAGACCAAGTTCCACAAAACATCCCCTTTATCACATCTTCTATAAGCTCTTTTCCAAACTTTCTTAGAAAAAGGCACAGTATTTACCGGCTTCACAGAAATTAAGGACAATAATTTCAGGTGGAAGAATTGTTCTGAGAGCACTGAGAGCACAGAATAATCCTTGGGTGTTAGATTGACGACACAAGCAACTCATGGGAACGATTCAGTATTCCTTACAGCAGCTCCAAGACCAAGCACCTTCTAAACCCCATACTGCTTTGCCAGAGCAAAGCAGGGGACATCTTTTATGGATTAGCAAAATCAGGTGAGACCCAACCAAACGCATGCAGATAGAGAAAACCAGGCGGAGACTTACTTGGCAGTAATTTCTTCATCATATTTGGTTTTCAGGTCAAATAATTCTGTTCGAGTTTTTTCCAGGGCTGAAAGGCAGAGGATGTAAAACCATAATGTATGAATGATTTAACTTAAATTTAAAAAGGAACAGTATACAAGTAATACATTCTCATTTCAAGAGTCACAGGTTACAAAGTATATAGAATGCAACAGTAAATCCCCTTCACTTCCACTTCATCTCATCCCATGCACCACTTCGGAGGTAACCACTGTTGTTAACAGAGTGTAGATTTCCTTCTTTTAAATATATTTTATTATTTAAAAAATATTTCCACACGTAATTGCACATGTATATGTTTTTATCTCCCATAAATAGGATGATACGAATATTCTCTGAGACTTGCCTTTTCCCTTAGCAGGATAGCATGACAATCTCTCCATGTCAGGACACAGGCAATATCAGTAACAATTAGCTCTGGTATAGAGCCTGCCTGCCACATGCCAGGCACTTCGGGGTGCCTAGAAGTGGAGGGGCTGGGATAAGGAGCTTAGACATTCCAACTTCAGATCAATACCACCCAGCTGGACTCCCAAGGGGCAAATCACATTCCTATTATACTATTTTGTTGACTATTTTCCTATACTCTCACCAACACCGGATATTATCAATTTAAAAAGAGGCTGACAGTCTTATAGGCACAATGATCTTTCACTGATTTAATTAACATCTCCCTGTTAAAAATTGTTAACTTTTTTTTCACATGTGTATCAGTCATTTGCCTTTCTTCTGCAAAATGCCTGTTCACATCCTTAGCCCATTGTTCTACTGGACTATCTATCTATGTGTAGTGATTTGTAGGAGGTCTTTATCTATTTTGAATATTATTCATTTGTCTGTTAAATTTGTTGTGATTATTTATTTTTTAATTTTATTCACCTCCATATAACAGCATATATAAAATGCTGCACAGACAATAAGCATTTCTGAAACTTGTTCATTCCTTGGGGACTGGCACAGAGTTTTGGGAAAAAAAAAAAAACTTCAATGGTGGAAAAATTTTTATCTCTAAGGATAGATTTGATTTGGAGATAGCCAAAAATCGCCTGAGACTAAGTCTGGCGAAATAAGGTGGGTAATAATCTGAACATAAATTTCAGTGAACTAAGGATATAAAGGGATGATCTATCTTAGAGTAAGTATCGATAAACCTGGGAACATGCCACTCTCAAAAGAAACAATGGTTACTGGGATAAATAAGTAACTGTTTTTAAAGTTTCATTTGTGTTTTAACTGGACAATGTCTTCTAATTCCCCCACCACTGCATTTAAATTAAATATACAGTGCTGTGTCCCTTCTAGAACAAAAAGAAAAAAAAGAAAAGAAAAAAAAAGGAAAAAATGATTAAAAATTTAGCAGCATAGCCTTTTTTGTTATCTTTTAAATTTTAAAGGTCTGTTATTACTATTCTCCTTAACTTCACTTAGGTTAGAAGTAAGTTCCCTCCCGACGCCGCCCTATAGTGTTTCAAATGAAATGTCAGGCCTTGACAGTTGGTGATTTAGATGTATTTGTTGGAAAAAGAACAGGAAGAAAGGATGTCTTGTGAAAGGGATGAAAATGTAATTCAGATCCTTCCACCTCAACATTAACAGTTCAATGTGGGTGATTAATAGAAGTCAAAGTAGAGAAGCTGGGGCCTCTCTGGGACATTCTAGAACATGGGTTCCCTTCCTTCCTCTAGGCTCACCAAGGGCAGAGGAATAGGTATCATAGGGGACCTGGGGAGACCTGGAGATCAATCAGACTGCCCCCATTTCAGTCTTCCCTGAATCAACTTGGCTAGGATGAAGAATATCACACCTGTTTGCAGAGTCTGAACTTTATGTTCCGCTTCCTCCAGCTTTGAGGTGGTGGACACTTGTGTCTCTTGCAGCTTTCTGAATAAAAAAAAAAAAAGAGAGAGAGAGAGAGAGAGAGATTTACATTGTTTAGCAATGTAAATATCTCGTGTATTCTGGATCAACTGTCTTCACTGTAACACACACAGCCGGCGACAGGCGCACGATCAGCATGACTCATAATGCTCGAGGTACTGTGGAGCCCACTTACTGATCTTGTGCACCCCAACTTTGTACCCACATGTTACATAAAGTGAACTCTGTGTCCTGTGGGACTTGATGTGTAGTAACTGATGTAGAAGGTTATCTTAAATGTAACTTGTTCTTGAAATGCCGGATATTAAAAAAAAAAAATCATCATCATACACTCATTGTTTTGTGAGGTTAGCCCAAGAAGAACGATACATTTACATTTTGCTGACACAATGAAGGAATTTGTTGAAATAAAGGATGTACTAAATAGATGTGACAGCTGTTCCATTTCTGTTATGATGGAATGCGAATGTAACTGCAATACCTAATGGGGAAATTCTGAACGTTTTAAAATACATTCCACATATTTATATTTCCCATGATCTCCAAATGAATTCCCTGGTCAATAAATAGCATTCCTTCCTCCTAATCTGCAGAAAATTCTCTAAAAATAAGTTTATTATTTTTACATCACATGAATATAACATATGCTTTCATAATAATGAATCTGGAAATATAGAAAAGTAGAAATAACACAGTTTTAAAAAAATTACCCAAATTTTTATCACCTGTAGAAAAGGATTGCTCAAATTTTCACATATTTCAATTATAAAACTAATAGATGTTCTGAGTTTAAAAAAATAACACAAATATTGTAAGAGCACGGAAGGTAAAATATCCTTTCCCTTCCTTGGCTCTATGTCTTACTCAGATAGAGTTCTTCCATAGCCTTCTAAAATTTTTCTACATTACAGAAATATAAAGTAATATGCAATATACTAGAATATACACTTATATGTAATATGCTGTAGTATAATATAAATTCATGTAATATGCTCTAGAATAATATATATTCATGTTTTACTATAATATAAACTCATGTAATATACACTTACACGTAACATACTACAGTATAAACTCGTATGTAACATGTACTCATATATAATACACTGTACTGTAATATGCACTGCTTGCCCTCTCTTTTAGGACAAAAGGGATGATAGCACACACAGTATTCCAAAGCTTTTTAACTCATCTCCAAACTTTGAAAATGTTCTACTCCAGCATATATAGTTCGTCTTCAGTCTTAATATTCTGTTTTCCTATGCCAACGCTGGATAAAATTAAACCTAATTTTACTACTGAGTAAAGCTGAGCATTTCTCTTTGAATAATCTCACTGTTTATTGCCTTTGCCTATTTTTTTGTAGTGCTGATGTTTTCTTATTAATTTGTAAGAGCTCTTTTATATAAAGAAAATCAACCCTTTTTCTTATGTGGTGCTAATACTTCTCAGTCTCTTGATGTTTATTTGTTTTTAAAAATTAGTTTTAAGTTTCAGGTAATTATATTTACATAACTTTATATGCTTAGAGATTTACCCACTCCAAAATTAAAAATAAAATATTTGCCCAAGTTTTCTTCTACCACGCACATGATTTAATCATTAATATCTGACTCCTAGACTCATTTCAATTTTTTTTGCGTAAAAATGAGATAAAGATCTAGCTTTGCCTTCTACCCCCAGTGGTCAGTCTGTTATTTACATCTTTTAGTATAATAAATCTTTTTACCTACTTTGAAAAGTCAACTTAAGAATATTAAATTTCCATATGGTTCATTAACGTATTTTACTCATCTCAGCTCCTTGATATATGAAGCACTGTGAGGTAATTTGAAAAGATGTACAATTGCCATGTGCCAACCACGTCCGCTTCATGCTTAACCTCTGGATCTGCATGGCCCAGACAGACACACTGTGGCCCACAACCAACACCAGCCACCAGTGGGGAAAGACTGACATTTCATTCAAGGTAATCTCATACATTATAGAATAAAGGATGCCTTTACTTTTCAAACAAAATTTTGCCTAGACCCCTGAGGATTTTGTTTTAAAACCTGGGTATATTTCACAGGTCCATTTTAAAAACTGTCTTGTCATGTGAAGTTTAGAGATAATAATGTCAGTACATGTAAACCCAACATATGCTCACCTCTCCTTTTCTGCAAAATCATTTTGTAACTTTTGTTCCTTTTCGAGAGCTATAGTTTCAGCTTGGTTCTTCAGAGTCTGTTCATATTCTCGGATTTTCTCTTTAAGTGCTTTTATCGTAACCTCTACAGAAAGAAAAAAAAAAAAACTACAGTAAGAGAAGCACAGTTTCATGTAGCTATATATATAGGCATTCGTAACGGAATAGAATCGGTGTGTTTTAAACTTTAGCTCTTCAACTCTGACACAAAATCAATGGTTACGAGTCCCTTCGGAGACCTTTTACTCCCTAAATGTTAAATTGAACTTTAAACGTTTAGGTTGAGGAGGATCAATGGATTCTGCTGGGAAGAAGAACTATGGTTTCTTTAATACAACTTTCAAAAGGGTTGGGGGGAATCAATGGTAAAATATAATATTGTCTTACTGATGAGTCTTAAATTAGTCCTCTACTGAGGGAAATTAATAAAGTTTTAGTGTGGCGTTAAGTACTTTCTTACAAAGAAAACAGTTGATAATTGTATGCACATTTTGGAAGATGCCGACTTAGCCAGGCAGGTATGTCTACGGGCTTCCCTGGCCGTGGGCACAGTTTTGCTATGTCACAGTGATGAAACATGGAGTGTGCTAAGTACATACAGCATGCATCTCCTTGGTTAGAAGGGACCTTGCAGCTCAGGTGCCAAGAGCACCTTTCACCCAGGCTAGTCTGGCAGACTAAGGCTACATGTGTACAGCAGAGACACAGGACCTGGGGGAGCTGCACCTGAGGGAGGGTGAGGGACAAGGGCAGTGGTGCTGTTCAATCGAAGAGCCCTGCAGTGCCCAGGCTCAAGACACAGGGACCCTTGGGGGGCAGGCCATCTCTAGAAAGCCCAGGTCACATCACCAGTGATGGCATGTTTGCAGCTGTCATTTCAGTATCCCAAAATGGGAAAACCGAAGCAGATGTAATGAATGGGGCAGGGTCCTAACTCAGACCTGTGGGGGGCTCCAGAGCAGGACCACTCCACATGCTCTCTCCCACAGGCACCCCCATGCCATTCTGCATGATGGACGGTCCCTGGCAGGGCACTGTGGTCCCAGCTCCAAGGAGAGTGAAGCTCTTGGGGGACTGTACTTGGCTGTGCACAGATTTATCTCTTAGAAGGCAAAGCTGAGCTTCTTTGTGAGCCCAGCACCTGGCACAGGTGGGTGCTCAGGAAAAGGCTGAGGCACAGATGAATGAAGGAGCTAAGACTGGACTGACCAGGGTGAGGCCCAGACAGGGCTTGTGACAATGGGCTCCAGGCTCATGTGACAATGCCGCCTGCCAGGTCTTTGCCCAAGTAAGACCTTAAACTGGTGGCCCCTGTTTCTTCAGGTTGTAACTCATGTCCACCTTTACTCTCTGAGCTGCAGAGACATGCTAGGCAAGGCAGCAGCACATCAACTGGGCATTTAGTACCCACATGGCTTAGTGAATAAAAGCCAAAGGCTCTTTGGTTAAGAGAAGAAACTGGCCCTTTTTATTAAGTGGAATCCAGAAGGTTCTCCTTAGAAGAAGAGAGAGGGAATTAAAATGAATGACCTTATCAAGGCATTTGTAAAAAGAGTGGGGAGCTTTCTGCCTTTTGGACTGGTTGTTTGGGGCCTGAAAGAAATACCCTGTGAGCATAACGGTTAGTGATACACATTTCTGTCAAGTCACACTGACAGGGCCAAAGTTGGGCATAAGCTGAACATTTCCAAAATGGATACCACAGACATTTCCAAAGACAGGTAGGTCATCTCTGAAAACGTTTGCACATTCTAATGGCCTCTGCGATAGTGTAAACATAAAGCATTTCTGCCTCTAACAATTGGATGGAAACATCTATGTAGCCCCTGGACTCCAGTGTTCATTCCCCAGGGTTTCTCAGTGTGACACATTATTATGCGCCTTCCAGGGGAGTTTAGGGGACTATCTGGGGGCTCCCACTCTGTCTGATGAGGTCTCTTTGCCACCCCGCCCCAATCCTGGGCATGCTGCTCACTGATTGGCTGAGCCTAGGCCAGGTGCTAACTTGTCCTGGAGTCTCTGACTCTGGACTTCCTCCTGTGGCCAGGCCTGGGTCCAGGACATTCTCTTGGGTGTGTCCCAGCAGGATCCCCTACATGTGAGCAGGTAAGGAGGGAAAACGGTGCAGCAGAAAGGGAGCTGAAGCACTCTGCTCTAATTAGCTGTTCCTGGGGCCCCAATTTATTCATCTTTGAATGGGGGGGCGGAGAATTATAGCACATAATAAAGAAATACCTTTCCTACTCTTTTTATTCATCTAAAACATGGCTATGGTGATTAAAAGAAGTGATGTGCACCTCGACCATTCCAAATTGAAATCATTTTTGTACTGGGAAGAAAAGAGAAAATCGACATTTTTCTGGAGGTTGGAAAAATCTGTTAAGATATCAATAAGTAAAAAAAGGAGAAATATCTGGAAAAAATAACAGTACTTAGTAAGAACAGCTGATCTTTACTGAGTGTCAGGAACACCACCTGCATCTCATTTAACCCTGCAACAATGCTATGCGGTTAGTACGAGAATCCCCTCACCCAAGAAAATGAGGCTTATAACAAAGTGAGATCATTCGCTCAAGGTCTCAGAGCTAAGTAGTAGAAACTCAAACCAGGTCTGTCTACCCCTGGAGGCTTCATTCTTAAGTCTTGGACTATATAATATACCATTTCATTTATAAACGCCCATCAGACGAGGTCTTTGAGGAGGACAAAGTCTCACGCTCTGTTATGGTTCCTCATTGGGTGACTGGCCAGAGGCACTGATAGGGCACGGGGTGGGGAAGGAGACCTACACCCGCACCATCCTCCAACGAAACAAAATCAAAATAACAACACCACCAAGAGTGGCTCTGTCAGAGTAAGGTGCCAGAGGTCGCTGGGAGGGAAAAAACGAAGCTCATTCCTTTTGGGTAGTGCTGCACTGGAGCCGGGAAGTACATATTTACAGGTTACTTTTCACCTGAGTACTTGGGTGGTTCTGGCAATAAACAACTCCTCCTGGGGGGAGGGGAATGCAGCACCCTCTTTCACGGGGATCCCAGCCGAGTGAGTCCAATATCTCACTTTCAAGCAGGACAAAGCTGTCCCTCCATGTCCCAATGACTCACCATTCCCTGTGGCACCAGATGGAGGTAGGGGTCTCAGCTGTCCCCTCCTTCCGGTCCCCTGAGGAAGGGGTCCCTCAGGACTCCCGCTCTCATTGCCCAGGACTGTACCTTGCAGCTTCTCAGTCTCTTCCCGGATTCTTTCCGTGGACCATCCCTCCTCGCAAGCCTGTCTTCAATGGTCTCAAAGCCCAAGGATGCTTTTAAAAATCTTCATCAGCTAATTCTTTTTCCATCCAGCCCTCGGAGCATATTAAATAGAAGGCCACTCGGAGGAGGTCACCCAAGCAGTTTGTCTCTCTTTTCTAGCTCCTTGCTCACCCAAACCCCAAAGAAAAACAAACAGGCCGCATCTCTAATTGGAGTTGCTTTAAAAACCTGCAGCTGCTATCACATGGGGCTGTGATTTTTCTTCATGACAAGGAAGCCACAAGGTTCCTGGATTTTAGGTGCAGGAGCGATTTCTTTGTTCTCCCCTGACAGGAAAAGCCAGGCAACCTTTGCCCTCTCTGTCTTGTTGATGGCTAGGCAACCACACCAAGAGGTGGTTTTCTTTCATTAAATTCATAATGAATAGGTGACGCTGACAAGGAAACAGTAGTGCTTAAGCATGCAGACTTGCAGGATGCGTCTAAAGCCTTAATGTATTGGCAATTATTAAATGACTTACTGTATGTGACCCTTTGATCATAAGCTGGCTCTCTGACAGGTGTCGCCCGCAGGCAACGCATCAGTCTTTTAAAAGGCAGATCCTATCATATGATGGTACAGAAAGAATTTTAAAAGAATCCTGATCGGTCCCGTTGGAGGGCAATAAAATCATATGTAGTTACTGTGCAGAGGAAAAGTTTTGCTTCTAAATAGCTAAGCATTATTATTATCTCTCTTTAACGATTCAGATTCTTACCCCACCCTGACTTTATGATGTATATTACAATTATGGCTAGTTCCAACAGTATAAAGAAGGCAATTAAAAAAAAAATGAAAAGAAAAAAGCCAAGCAAAAAATGCATCTTCCTCCAACCTTGATTTTTCACTTCAGCAAATTCCTTGTTGTATTCTTCGAGAGTTTCCCTAAGTTTCTGGTTCTCCGTTTCAATGTCGTGCAGGCGCTGCACTTTGAGCTGGAGCTGCTGCCCAAGATCCAGAGCTGGCACAGGATCTGCACGAAAGGAAAACACACATCACACCACTGTGAACACATACGAGACACCTTCATGACCACACGAAGGCTTGGAGCAGCTCTTCCTGGGTGTCTGGGAAGTTGGCCTCCAGCAGGTTCCCCCAGAACTGCCACCACTTGCCAAAAGTTGGGGCACCAGGGGCCTTGCCACCTCCCTAAGAGTCCCTGGGAGCCCTAGAGCTGGGATAGGGGCACTTCTCTGCTGCCTGCAAAGAATGTTACTTACCCACCCTAAGGCCCCAATGTGTGAAAATGGAGTGGCAATGGCCATAATAGGCTCATTGGGATGTGCCCACTGCTCTGACATGATGTGACAGAGAGCTGATAGGAAGAGACAAACATGTTGCAGCAGCATGGGGAGGATCCCCGGGAAAATCATCCATGCATCCAGAGCCACACTTACAGGATTGACAGTGCAAAGAAAGGCACCATAAGCCTCAACTTTACAATAATTCTTAACTTGGAAATAACAAATAATACCTGATACTCTGAGAGCCTCTCATTGTCAGATAAAACTTTACAGACATTTTCTCATTTGAGCCTCTCAACACTCCTGGGACAGAGATGTGAGACATGTACTACACTTCTTTCTCAGAAGTGAACTCTAAAGCTAAGGGAAGCAGTGACTTGCCCAAGGTTTCCTAGCTAGTTAGTGGGCGAGAGAACTCGAACCCAAGCCTGTTAACTCCAAGTGACCATTCTTCCAACAAGGGAGGACCCCTGAGGGAGTGCAGGAAATAAACACAGCCTTTATATGAGGCCGCCCTACTTAGGACATGCTCATTTTCCATTACGATCCTCCTTTACTAATGAAGGATGCTCACAAAAGAGTCAGCTTAGCAGCTGGTGAGCTGAGAACTGAAGACTGCTAGGTTTCTGCCTGGGGGTGGGGAAAGTTATGCCTGTTCCCCAGAGATACAGCTGGAGAGACAACCTGCTGTGACCTGTCCTAGGCCATTGGGCCATGAAGCCAGGAGGCCACCATACTCTGATTATAATACAAACAGCAGGAGATGGCATCAGGGCCAGCTATGTGAGGCCAATTCAAGGTACTACCTGCCATCATATTTAATTACAAAAAATTGGATTTTAATCTATAATTAGAGATTGCAGACATAAAATTTATGGTCTTGACTCTTGGCCTTTACAGTAATTCAGCACAAAATAGACATTAAACATTCTTCTGGTGTCAATTCAATCTTTTATTTTTACTTCTGCTGCCTAAAAGGCTCTTATAATCCACCTGCTGGGCACCAGTGGAGCACTTCCTCCAGAACTCCCAGGCTCCGTCAGAGTAGAATATCCAAGTCTGCTGGGCTTAGAAAAGATTATTGAAGGTATTTCTGGTATGGACGCCAGTATCACTTGTGAGATGGCTGCAAGGATTTAGTCTCCGATTAAGGAATGCTAAACACCAAGCACAGTGGATCAACAGGAGTATATATTCAAGAGCTCACTTAATTTTCAAATACCAGAGTCATTAATTTTTCAGACCACCCTTGGTTCCTGGAAATGAGGGCTAGACCCACCATGCCTCAGTTGACGTATCCACCAGGAGCCAGTAACTCCTTGAAATGCCAACGTCTCTGCAGAGTTTACAAAAGGCAGGCACTGGGATATGTCCAGCACAATGGCAGGCCTGTGTGTGAGGTTTAACACCAAGGCTGCCCATTGTGTGAAACCCCTGGCTGCCGGGCATTTATTCTGTGTATATACAGTTTATGACCATATTGCTTTCTCATTTGTGGCTTTTTATTATTATTTTAATCAGCATTAAAATATTTACATTAAATTAGATTTTGAAAGCTATTTTGGGGAGATTTTTTTTGTAAGTGGGAGTAGTAGACTGAATTCCTCAGAACATTCGGTACCTTTCCAGGGTGCTTTCCCATCCCCCATGACCTCATGCTGGGCAAATGACCTAAAGGAAATATACAGTATGCCCTGTGGTTTCCTTCATATAGAACCACAATTTGAACTTGCTATAGAGGTCAGGAAAGGATTGAGGAGAAGAAGAACCACTGCACTTGTATAAAATTCTATTAGCATTCACTCATGTAGGCTTTCCAGTACAATTGTCAGTACAAATTATATTTTTAAAGAGCTAAGCTAGTATAATGCCCTCCATCCCTAAAATTTCTGTCAACAACTTTTCCAGTCCATTCCTTTAAAAGGCCAGGATAAACTGTGTCTGCTTTGAATAAAAAATAGCTTCCCTCATTCGATTCAGCAAGGAATTCAGTGACATATAAAAATAATGTGCACATTATCAAGTGAATGGTAACTAGACCTTTAAACAAATTTTCAAAGCATTATATTGTAAATGAAAATTCTGGCAATCTCATAATTATTCATTATGGCATGTATATTTAATTTAACACTATTAAAGGTTAATGCCTAAGTAGCAAAACTGGTCACAGAATAAAGAATGAGCTGAATGTTCAAACATCTCTATGCATTAAACTTCAAACTTTACTACAGTACAGTTGAATGACTAAACGCCTACAGCATTTGAATATTGTTTTGGATTATGTAAAAGGCATTGCTAAAGTACCTCTTAGGCTTAATTTTTATTACTTGCATTAAAGGAACAGCTAATTACCACATGACAATATAATGATTCTAGCATGTTTGGGCTAGAGACCAAAACAACGAATTTCAGCACACCAAACACCAACCTGCATGTTAATCTAGGGGAAATCAAAGCTTTTTGTCTTATTAATGATTTTCAATGCCATTTAAACCCCACACAAGTATTGTTAGGCCTTATTCTGAATGTCACAAGCCTCCAATCTCAGCAGCTCAATTAGGGAATTGTCTTGGGAAGGGAAGAGAACACACCCATACATGAAACAGGAACACACAAAACCCTCAACCCGTCTTCCCTGCCTCCTCCAATTCAATATACTTTATTGCCAGTCCCATCCATGTAATGTGACAAACTTGCCATGTGTTTTACAATTATCTAATAGTTAATTCCTAAAACATTCTTTGAAGCATTATATAGCTCATTATGCAACACAGGACTCAAAGAACATAATTGTAACAAACAATAACAACATAGTCACCTTCTCCTAAGTACATGTAACATTATCTCATTTCAATTCCAGCCATTGCAGTCAGAGGTCGGGGGAGGGGGCTCCACACTCTGTCTAGAGCTGGCAACTCAACCAAGGGACTGGGGAGGAGACAAGTCAGGCAGGCAAATAGGTATGCAAAATTCTAATGAAGATTTTGCTTCCTGAACTAGGAGCCAACTAAATTACCCTGTCTCTTCAAGTTCCAATTTAACAAGTATTTCCTAAGCATCTGCTCTGGGTAAGGCCTGAGTGAGGCGCTGGGTGGGTATTCAGTCAAGTTAGCTGAGACAAGCCTCACAATAGAGATAAACCTGTGGAAACTGTGGGGCAGTCAGTCCATGTGGAAGACATAGTGTGTAGGGGCAAAAGGAGTAGGGAAGAGCCAGGCACAGTTCAGTCTACTGCTGGCACCCACCTACACATTCTATGACATTAGGACCCTTCTAGGTGCTGAGAGGACACGATGGTGAACAAGACAATTCCTTGTCCTCAAAAACTTGATATTCTGAAGTGAGGGAGACAGACAAAAAGCAAAACCAAACAGAACACTTTCAAGTACTTCTAAGCATGAAAAAGAAGAAATGGCATGGAGAATGGGGAATGGGTCCTGGAGACAGGCGGACAGAGAAGGTCTCTTAGAGGAGGTAACACTAGGATTGGGATCTGAATGGTGAAGAAGAAAGACTGTGAAGACCCTTGGCAGAGGGAATAGCAGTGCAAAGGTCCACAGGTGGGTGTGAATGTGGCATATTTAATGCACAGAGAGAAAGTGGTGAGGCTGCAAGGAAGGAAAGCGAGCATGGCAAAGGACAAGTCAGAGAGGGAGGCCTGCACTCAAGGATTTAAACACAAGGAGAGAAACAGAAGATATAAAGAACAATGAAACTGAATTCCAGAGCTGAAAATGCAATGTCTCAGGTGCTCTGTTAGCGTAGTAGGTAGCACATCAATTTCATAAAAACATAGTATCTCAAGTAAAACAGAGCACTGAGTTTGGAATGAATTTTACTCTTGATGGGAAAAAGAGTCCTATTGGAAAATAGGACTCTTGCAAGATGAGCCACTGGGACATGAGAAAAAAACTGCAGTACTTTGAATCACTAAAATGTTTGTTGGTTTTCTAGTTGCAATAGTTGCAAAGTATTTGGTAGCTTTAAGCTTAAAGATGAGTTAAACAATATTCTTTTAAAAAGCTAAGTGTTCCAAATTAGCTGTTCTGTTCTGTGAAGGCAGATGGCTATCAGTAATACGTTGCCTGGCAGACATTTAAAAAATAAACATAATGTATATCTTTGAAGTCAACATGGTGTTTTAATACTTAGTGGGAAAAAGGCTACTTCTTGAAAGAAACTAATCTATAGTGACAGCATTCTAAAAGTGTATATTCCAAAATCTTCCCATCATCATATAAATTTATGAGCAAAGACAACATCCTCTACAAAAGTGTCTCAATGCCTCTAATCATAAGAGAGAGAGAGTAGAGCATAATGGTTTAGAGTGTGGGCCAGACTGCATGTATTCAAATCCCAGCTCTGCCATTTGACTGGTTGTGTAACGTTGGACACATTACTTAATACTTAATTACTAAGATAATATGTGCCTACACTTAGAAAACTGTCCGGCATGGAGTTAAACTCAATAAATGTTACCTATTATTAACCAATTCAAATCTGAAAAAATATTTGCCAAAAGGAGTTTTAAATCATTTATTAATATTAAAAATACAATATCTTCTGACTAGTTAGCAAGAAAAATCGAGTATCAGGGAAAAAGAAAACTTACTAGCTGAACTTCAACAAAAACCTTCTTATAACTGGTATACAGGTTTCAAAAGTATAAATCATATTTTTGTAAAGATAGCCAATAATGCACTGCTTTGGTTTGGATCTATGTATCTTC